TCTTAGGGTTGTTTGTCCCTCTTTTCCTCTCTTGCTGCCTTTTGTGTTTCATTGATTTTTTTTTTTTTTTTGTAGTGGTATGCTTTGAGGCCTTTCTTATTTTCTTTGGTATGTCTTCTATAGCAATTTTCTCTGTATAAAACACTTTATAGCTATAACTATTTATTTAAACTAAAAATTGAATTCAATTGCATACAAAACCTCTACTCTTTTACCTCCAATTCACTTTACATTATCAATGTCACAAATTATACTTTTAATATTTTGTATCCATTAATATAATTTAATAATTATGGTTATTTTATGCTTTTATTTATACCTGATTTAAAAGTGATTTATGGACCACTATTGTAGTATGACAAGATTCTGCTTTTTTTTTTTTTTTTGACAGAGTCTCACTCTGTCGCTCAGGCTGGCGTGCAGTGGTGCAATCTCAGCTCACTGCAAACTCTGCCTCCTGGGTTCACGCCATTCTCCTGTCTCAGCCTCCTGAGTAGCTGGGACTACAGGAACCCGCCACTATGCCCTGCTACTTTTTTTTTTTTTTTGTATTTTTACTAAAGACGGGGTTTCACCATGTTAGCCAGAGTGGTCTCGATCTCCTGACCTCATGATCTGCCTGCCTTGGCCTCCCAAAGTGTGGGATTACAGGCATGAGCCACCACGCCCGGCCTAGATTCTGCATTTGACTATATGTTTACCTTTACCAGAACCTTATACTTCTGTATGCTTTCAAGTTGGTATCTAGCTTTCTTTTATTTCAACTTGAAGTACTACTATTAGTAATTCTAGCAAGGCAGGTTAATGGTGATGAACTTCTTCAGCTTTTGTTTATCTGGGAAGGTCTTTATTTCTCCTTCATTTTTGAAGGGCAGATTTGCTCTGTATTCTTAGTTGGCAATTTTCTTTCTCTTTCAGCCCTTTGAATATACTACCCCATTCCCTTTCAGTCTGGAATGTTCCTGCTGATGAGTTTGCTGATAATCTTACGAGAGTTCTCTTGTATATAAGTCACTTTTCTCTTGCTGCTTTCAAGATTCTCTGTCTTTGACTTTTGACTGATTATAATGTGTCATGGTGTTGGATCTTTAGGTTCATCTTAGATAGAGTCCTTCAAGCTTCTGAAATTTGGTTGTCAGTTTCCTTTTTCAGATTTGGGAAGTTTTCAGCCATTTCTCAAGTGAGCTCTCTGTCACAGGCTACTCTTCCTCATGCAGTCTGTGGACTCAGTTGTCATCTGCCACCACTGTCTACTTATCTTTCAACTGCCACAAATGGATTCCAAAAAAATCTCCAAAAGAAACTGTTACTATGACAAGATGGCCAACTAGACACAACCAGGAAGCTCTGCTCCCACTGAGAGAGACCAAAATATTGAGTACACCAACATATTTTGAGCCCATCTTCCGAGAGAAAATACTGAGAGTCATTAAAGAGGTGATGCAGACAACAAGGCTGAAGAGGGAGGAAGCTGGGAACCCTGCACAGGATACTTGCGTGACAGGGCTAGTTCCCAGACCTGAATGTCTCCTGGGGAAGGGATAAGTGAAGGGATGGAGGGACAGGCCACTCTCACTGTGGACCTCTGGGATCCTAGGTACATAGAACTTCACATTCTCCATGGACATATGAGCTGCCAGGGGGATCTTCAAAGAGAGTAGGCAGAGACAGGGCTTCACTGGCACGGAGTCCAGGAGCTTTTGTACATGTGGCAGCTGTGGTAGAGCATGGCCTAGACACCCATCCCGTACGGCTCCCCATCTCTGTATAAGCAACTCTAGCCTCAGCTGATTGCTGGCCCAGGAGCGAGTGTGGCTGGCTTCCTTGTGGGACTGGGAAACTTTTTTTTGTAGACCCTCCTGCCCACCAGCAGGACCCCTGCCTGGCCACCCTGTAGGAGGTGTGCACAGAGTAGCCTCTGCTGCTAAGCCTGGGTGCTTTGCTTTGCCTGAGTACCTTCCTGGTGGCCCGGGAGCACTTTGGATCCCCCAGAACAGCTAGGACCCAATCTCAAGGGTCTGGAGGATGAAGCTGAAATCAGTCCTAGCCCCCCAAAAACTACACAAATACATGGAAATTGAACAACTTACTCCAGAATAATGCCTCAGTGAACAATAAAATGAAGGAAGAAATAAAAAATTCCTTGAAATAAATGAAAATAGGGACACAGCTTACCAGAATCTCTGGGACACAGCTAGAGCAGTATTAAGAGGCAAGTTTCTAGCACTAAGCACCTTCAGCAAGAAATTAGAAAGGTCTCAAATTAACAATGTACCTTTGCATCTAGAGGAACTAGAAAAAAAACAAGCCAACCCCAAAGCAAGCAGAAGATAATAAATATCTAAAATTAGAGAACTGAATGAAATTTAGACACAAAAATCCATACAAAAGACCAATGAAGCAAAGAGTTTTTTCTTCAAAAGAATAAACAATATTGGCAAGGTGCAGTGGCTCACGCCTGTAATCCCAGCACTTTGGGAGGCCAAGGCGGGAGGATCACAAGGTTAGGAGATTGAGACCATCCTGGCTAACACGGTGAAACCCCTTCTCTACTAAAAATACAAAAAAAAAATTTGCCGGGCGTGGTGGTGGGCGCCTGTAGTCCCAGCTACTCGGGAGGCTGAGGCAGAAGAATGGCATGAACCCAGGAGGCGGAGCTTGCAGTGAGCCGAGATCACGCCACTGCACTCTAGCCTGGGTGACAGAGGGAGACTCCATCTCAAAAACAAAACAAAAACAAAACGAATAAACAAGATCAATAGACCACTAGCTATATTAATCAAGAAAAAAAGAGAAGATCTAAATAAATATAATCAGAAATGACAAAGAAGACATTGCAACTGGTCCCACAAAAACACAAAAGATCCTCAGAGACTGTTATGAAGAGCTTTATGTACACAAATTAAGAAAACCTAGAGAAAATGGATAAATTCCTGGAAACACACAAACTCCCAATATTGAACCAGAAAGAAACTGAAAACTTGAACAGACCAATAAGTTCCAAAATTGTATCAGTATTAAAGAAACTGCCAACCATAAAAGAAAAAAAAAGAAAAAGAAAAAAAAAGCCCTGGACCAGATGGATTCACAGACAAATTCTCTCAGAAATAAAAAGAAGAACTCAGACAAAAAAAGAATACCAATCATACTGAAACTATTCAAAAAAATTGAAAAGGAAGGGTACCTCTCTAACTTATCCTACAAAGCCAGAATCAGTCTGATACCAAAATCTGGCAGAGACACAACAAAAAAAGAAAACTTCAGGCCAATATACCTAATGAACATAGGTGCAAAAATTCTCAACCCAATACTAGCAAACTGAATCCAGCAGCACATCAAAAAGTTAATTTACCACAATAAGGCAGGCTTTACTCCTGGGATGCAAGGCTGGTTGAACATATGCAGTCAATAAATGTGATCCACCACAGTAACAGAATTAAAAGCAAAACCATATGATCATCTCAGTAGATGCAAAAAAAGCTTTCAACAAAATCCAACATCCCTTCATGATAAAAGCCCTCAACAAACTAGGCATCTAAGGTACATACCTCAAAATAATAAGAGCCATCTATACCAAACCCATCATACTGACTGGGCAAAAGCCAGAAGCATTCCCCCTAAGAACAAAAACAAGACAATGATGCCTACTCTCACTGCTATTGTTCAATGTAGTACTAGCAATCCTAGTCAGAGCAATTAGGCAAGAGGAAGAAATAAAAGACATCCGTGGCTGGGCATGGTGGCTCATGCCTATAATCCCAACACTTTGAAAGGCCAAGGCGGGCAGATCATGAGGTCAGGAGATCGAGACCACCCTGGCTAACACGGTGAAACCCTGTCTCTACTAAAAATACAAAAACAAAAAACAAACAAACAGAAAAGACGCCACATAGTAAAAGAAGAGGTCAAATTGTCTCTCTTCACTGACAGTATGATTTTATCTTTTTTTTTTGAAACTGAGTCTCCCTCTGTTGCCCAGGCTGGAGTACACTGGCACCATTTCACCTCACTGTAGCCTCTGCCTCCTGGGTTCAAGTGATTCACCTACCTCAGCCTCCAGAGTAGCTAGGATTACAAGCATTCACCACCATGCCTAGCTAATTTTTGTATTTTTTAGTAGAGATGGGGTTTCACCACATTGGCCAGGCTGGTCTTGAACTCCTGACCTCAAGTGATCTGCCCGCCTTGGCCTACCAAAGTGCTGAGATTACAGGTGTAAGCCACCATGCTTGGCCACTGATAATATGATTCTATATCTAGAAAACCCTAAAGACTCTGCCAAAAGGCCCATCAAACTGCTAAATGACTTCAGGAGTGTTTCAGAATACAAAAATGATGTACAAAAATCAATAGCATTTATATATATAACTGAGTACCTCAGCCTCTAAATACATTTTTAAACTATTTTTTTCCTCTCCTTCCTAATCTCAGAATGTAGCCCTGTGGTGTAAGATTCGTTACGCCCTTTCCCAACAGATATATCTGTGCACAGTGCTTGCCCATCTAACTATGTGCTTGCTTAGAAATTCCAGGAGCCAATTTTGAAGCAAATCAGGCAGAGAGACCCAGCCACAGATCTTCCCACTCAAGGGGAGTTATGCCCAAGTCAGGATGATGCAAATCAGATCTCTAGATGGGCGATGACTTGAGATAACTATGGAAACAAGACATGCAGCTATGCACTCCCTTTTCACTACTCATGTTCATATCCCCATACCTTTTTCCTTCTTAAATCCCTTCACTCAGCCCAGAAGGCTGAGATGGCTCTTTTAAGGCTTATGCCCAGACATTCTCCCATCTGCTAGCATTTGACCAACAAAAGTTGCTTTCCTTTCACCACACCTCAGTTCTCATGCTTTGACTTCTGAGAGGAGAGCAGCTGGATTTGAGCTGGTTACATATACACCAATAATGTTCAAGCTGAGAGCCAAATCAAGAACACAATCCCATTTACAGTAGCCACACACAAAAATGAAATATCTAGGAATACAGCTAATCAGGAAGGTTAAAGATCTCTACAAACCTGACAACGTTGGTGTTGTCGTGTTTGGAAATGATAAACTAATTAAGGAAGGAGATACAGTGAAGAGGACAGGAGCCATTGTGGATGTTCCAGTTGGTGAGGAGCTGTTGGGTCATGTAGTTGATGCCCTTGGTAATGCCATTGATGGAAAGGGTCCATTTGGTTCCAAGACCCATAGGCGAGTTGGTCTGAAAGCCCCTGGAATCACTCCTTGAATTTCAGTGCGGGAACCAATGCAGACTGGCATTAAGGCTGTGAATAGCTTGGTGCCAATCGGTCATGATCAGCATGAGCTGATTATTGGTAATGGACAGACTGGGAAAATCTCAATTTCTGTTGACACAATCATTAACCAGAAACGTTTCAATGATGGATCTGATGAAAAGAAGAAGCTGTACTGTATCTATGTTGCTATTGGTCAAAAGAGATCCACTGTTGCCCAGTTGGTGAAGAGACTTACAGATGCAGATGCCATGAAATACACCATTGTGGTGTCAGCTATGGCCTCGGATGCTGCCCCACTTCAGTAACTGGGTCCTTACGCTGGCTGTTCCATGGGAGAGTATTTTAGAGACAATGGCAAATATGCTTTGATTATCTATGATGACTTATCCAACCAGGCTGTTGCTTACCATCAGATGTTTCTGTTGCTCTGCCAACCCCCTGGTCATGAGGCCTATCCTGGTGATGTGTTCTACCTACACTCCCGATTGCTGGAGAGAGCAGCCAAGATGAACAATGCTTTTGGTGGTGGCTCCTTGACTGCTTTGTCAGTCATAGAAACACAGGCCGGTGATGTGTCTGCTTACATTCCAAGGAATGTCATTTCTGTCACTAACAGACAGATTTTCTTGGAAGCAGAATTGTTCTACAAAGGTATCCACCCTGCCATTAATGTCGGTCTGTCTGTGTCTCGTGTCGGATCTGCTGCCCAAACCAGGGCTATGAAGCAGGTGGCAGGTACCCTGAAGCTGGAATTGGCCCAATATTGTGAGGTCACTGCTTTTGCCCAGTTCAGTTCTGACCTCGATGCTGCCACTCAACAACTTTTGAGTTGTGGTGTGTGTCCAACTGAGTTGCTGAAGCAAAGACAGTATACTCCCATGGCTATTGAAGAACAAGTAGCAGTTATCCATGTGAATGTAAGGGGCTATCTTGAGAAACTGGAGCCCAGCAAGATTACAAAATTTGAGAATGCTTTCTTGTCTCATGTTGTCAGCCAGCACCAAGCCCTGTTGGGCACTATCAGGGCTGATAGAAAGATCTCAGAAGAATCAGATGCAAAGCTGAAAGAGATTGTAACAAACTTCTTGGCTGGATTTGAAGCTTAAAATCCTATGGATTCACATCAAATGCCAGTTCAGTTTTGTCATTGTTTATTCTAGTAAATTAGTTTTATTTGTGAAAGGGTTACTCTCATACTCCTTATGTACAGAAATCACGTGAAAAATAAAGATTCCATAATGTGAAAAAAAAGATCGCTACAAGGAGAACTGCCAATCACTGCTGAAAGAAATCACAGATGACACAAATAAATAAATTTTTTAAAAATTCCATGCTGATGGATTGGAAGAATCCATATTGTTAAAATGGCCATGCTGCCCAAAGCAGTTTAAAGATTTAATGTTATAACCATCAATGTCAGTTTTCACAGAACTAGAAAAAAACTATTCTGAAATTCATATAGAACCAAAAAAAAGTCCGAATAGCTAAAGCAATCCTAAGCAAAAAGAACAAGCCTGGAGGCATCACACTACCCAACTTCAAACTATACTATAAGGCTACAGTAAGCAAAACAGCTTGGTACTGATACCAAAAAGACAGATGAATGGAACAGAATAGATAATCCAGAAGTGGTTCTATACCTATAGCCATCTGCTCTTTGACAAAGCCCACAAAAAATGGGAAAAGGACACCCTATTCAATAAGTAGTGCTGGAATAACTAGCTAACCATATGCAGAAGAATGAAACTGGACCCCTACCTTTCATCATATACAAAAATTAACTCAACATGAATTCAAGATTTAAATTTACAACCTCAAACTATAAGAATCCTGGAAGAAAACCTAGGAAAAATAGTATTCTGGACATGAGCCTTGGCAAAGAATTTTTGGCTAAGTCCCCAAAAGCAGTTGCAACAAAACCAAAAACTGACAAGTGGGACCTAATTAGATTAAAAAGCTTCTGCTCATCAAAAGAAACTGTCAGTAGAGTAAACAGACAACCTACATAATAGGAGAAAATATCTGCAAACTATGAATCCAACAAAGGTTTAATATCCAGAACCTATGAGGAACTTAAATCAAGAAAAAACAAACAAATAACCTCATTAAAAAATGGGCAAAGGACATGAACAGATACTTCTCAAAAGAAGACATATATAAGCGGCCAACAAATGTATGAAAAAATGTCCAACATCACTAATCATCAGAGCAATGCAAATCAGAACCACAGTAAGATACCATCTCACTCCAGTCAGAATGGCTATTATGAAAAGGTCAAAAAACAACAGATGCTGGTGAGGCTGTGGATAAAAGGAATGCTTATAAACTGTTGAGGGGAATGTGAATTGGTTCAGTCATTGTGGAAAGCAATTGAAGATTTCTCAAAGAACTTAGAACTACCATTTAACCTACCAATCCCATTATTGGGCATATACCCAAGGGAAAATAAATCATTCTACCAAAAAGACACATAGACTTGTATGTTCATAACAGCGTTATTCACAATAGCAGAGACATGGAATTAACCTGGGTACTTATCAACAGTAGATTGAATTTTTAAAATGTAGTACATATACACCACAGAATACTACAGAGCCATAAGAAAGAATGAATTCATGTCCTTTTCAGAATCATGGATACAACTGGGGTCCATAACCCTAAGTAAATTATTATAATATAGGAATGGAAAACCAAATACAGCTTGTTCTCACTTGGAAGGGGAAGCTAAATACTGAGTACACGTTGATATAAATATGGTAACACTAGACACTGTGAACTACTAGAAGGGGTGGGAGGGGAGATGGGTTGAAAAACTACCTGTTAGGTAATATGCTCACTACCTGAGTGATGGAATCTATATCCTAAACATCAGCATTACAGCACATACCTGTGTAAAAAACGTGCAGGTATATCCCCTGCATACAAAATAAAAGTCAAAATTATTTTTTTAAAAAAGAAATTGTTGTCATTACAGGAAGTGGTAGATAGTTTGGGTTTCTAGGCTGTTTCTGAATCATAGGGGAGTCCATGTGATTCTGTTTGACATAAGTATCCCTGCTCAAAACATTCTGGAAGGAATCAACTTCATACATGGAGACATCTATCATCTCTCTGAGGTAGAGAAAGCCTTCCAGGATATAAATGTTACTTGTATGTTCCATATTGTCTTTTATGTTATGTCAGGGTGGAAACAATGGAATAAAAAACTGGTTAAAGAAATCAATGTGGCGGGGAGACACAGGCAATGTCCTCCAGGCTTGCAGGAGGATAAGAGTAATAAAATTAGTTTACACTAGTGCTTTTAATGCATATTTGGAGGTGAAATGGTCAGAAATGAAGATGAATCTCTGTATTTCTTAACTCTTCACCTCTATAGCGATCACTACTCTCAGACAAAATTGACTGTGGACAAAAAGATGGTGGAAGTGAATGGTGTTTTTCCTCCCCTACATCCCTAACATCCTGAATCCCTTCCCTTAAGTCTGTGACCACTGGGATACTTGGTCCCACTAGGATAGCTTTTTTCCACTGTTATTCCTCATCTACATGTTCAGTGTTGTCAGAAGAATGATGTTCTTTTCCAGATAGATGAATTACACAGCATTTAAATTTATCTTATTTCATTTTTTATGAGAAGTTATAAAATTGGAATAAAAAGCAGAAACAAGGAAAGGGATCTTCTGAAGTATACATTTTATAAGAGCCAAGGAATTAGTACCTGGAAAAATAAACTGTAATATTTAAAATTAGTTTATATATGGAGATAATTATGTTTCTTGCTAACATGCCTATCACCCTACTGATTCTCAATTTGAAATAAGCATTATAACTTTTATATGTCTGAATATGAAATTTTACAACTTTGACAGAAGAGGCCAGAGAACTAGCTTGCTCTTTTCCCACCATGTAGGAATAAAACAAGAAATCAGCAGTCTGCAGTCAGTAGTTACTGGAACTCAAATATAATGATGCCTTGATCTTGGACTTCCCAGCCACCAGAACTATGAGAAATAAATATTCCTTGTTTAAGCCACCCACTTTATGGTAATTTGTTACATCAGCCTCAACTGATTAAGACAAAAATGCTAAGAAACAGAAGGACCACAAAGTAAAATTCTGTAACTCATTCTGGAGTTTTAGATCTACTACAAAGGTCTAGAATCCAGTAGGTCTTCATGGACTGAATATAGTACCAGCAAGGGGGATGTGGACATGAGCCAGATCCTAACACAAAGGATATTTGCCCTCAAACCTCCTTTATGGTTCCTTCCAGGAGTGTGCAGCCCAGAATGAAGGTTTGATGGAGTGACTGGTGCCACAGGTATGAGCAATTGGCTCATAATTGGGGCAGCAGTTTGGAATCAAAGAATCATGATTGTTCTTGTAAATTATACTTATGGACCAAAGAGGCACACTGGGCTCAGAACATAGCAATTTTTCTCCTAGGTCTGTCAGCCTGTATATCTTTTACAGGCCAGGTATGTCAAGAGTCTACATGTGAGAGAGGTCTTAAAATCCACACAATATACATTTTGTACACAATTTCAGAATTCATAACAGATTATACTCAAGATACTGCATTTTATCTAGTGTGTTTTTACATTATAATTTCACAGGGTAACAGCTTCTCATTTTCAATGCCAGGTTACTTTTATGTGATAGTCACATTTTGTACCAATCTGGTGTTCAGATTTTATATTGCTTGATATGATTTTTTTTTTAAGTGCATAATCACTTTCTTAAAGTTTCTGTTTAAAAACTTACAGGAAGCATGACACAATATAAATTATATTAGAGATGGAATATTTAATATCCCCTAAAATACCAAATAACTTACCAGTATCCCAGTATTTAAATATACAGTTGATAACTCAAAGTAATTTATGACTGTTTCTTTGTAATCATTTTGATGTCACAGGTTGTTTAAGGCTTAATGATGATTAAGAACATTTAGTGAATTTATGCACACTTTAATGAATTGATTTAACATTTCAGCTGTTTATGTGCAAGGACCCATAAAATTATCAATTTAAATGACTTGAGAATTAAAATATAATAGTTTATTCTTGGAGCATTACTTTTTCTCTCTCCAGTTATTGATCAGGCTACCAAATGCTTTTTTAAAAAAATCTGTGTTTTAAATATTTTTATGTATTTACTTATTTTGAGATGGAGTTTCACTCTTGTCGCCCAGGCTGAAGTGCAATGGCATGGTCTTGGCTCACTGCAACCTGTGCCTCCCGGGTTCAAGTGATTCTCCTTTGTCAGCCTCCTGAGTAGCTGGGATTACAGGCACCCGCCACCACACCTGACTAATTATTGTATTTTCAGTAGAGATGGGGTTGCAACATGTTGGCCAGGCTGGTTTCAAACTCCTGACCTCAGGTGATCCACCTGCCTTGGCCTCCCAAAGTGCAGGGATTACGGGCATGAGCCACTACGCCGGCCTAAATATTTTTACATGAGATTGTGGATGATAATCTCATTTTGGGTAGATTTTGTATTTTGGGTAGATTTGTATTATGGGTAAACTTTTATCAGTGATCCTGATTTTAAAAGAAGAAAATAATTTTTTTTCTGGTTATGATTAGCATTTTTCATTAATTACCAGCTTTAGTTAAGGTAGCTTCATTTAATTCATACATTTTATTTGTTAATGCATGGTGCAATTAAAACAATAGTTACAATGTCATGAAGGACCTGTGCCAAGAATCAGATGGCACCACATAGCCGTCATTACCTATGACAATGCTACTTTTAAATTCTCATTTTTTTAGTGAGACTATTGAGGCTCTGAGATGTTAAGTAACTTTCCCAAGAATACACAGCTAGTCGATTCAGATTTATAAGGCCACAAAGCCTGAGTTCTCAGTTACTACTCTGCTCACTGGAACTTGTGGGAGCAAATTCTAATAAACTTACAGCTCTTCTTTGCCAAAAGATCTTAGCTCAGAGAGAAAGGAGACTTCTATACTGCAGAGCTAAGGTTTTAAGTAGGTCGTGCTTGACTTCCGGGGCATGTGACATGTGAATACAACTGGTTTTATGATGGTAAAATCATCAGCACTTCCATGGAGCATCTTGTGTTTCTCAGGGCATGAGAACCAACCATCTGCAGCATAAGGTAAATTTTTAACTCATAAGTCAATGAGATTGTTATTGCTACAGATATCACCATATTATCTGGCAGGTAATTCTTATTGAAATATCATAAAGGGCAAGTATTGTGACAACTTTTCTCCATGATTAATAAAACAAACAGATAATTTTTACAATGCTAATCCTTGCTGTGTTTCTTAATAAAATGTTCTTGATTACTTAAAGTCCTATTAAATTAAAAATCAGATTTTTGCAACATGTAGAAGCCTCTTTTAAAAGAAACTATAGTATTATTCTATATTGTATTTCTGTAGGTATAATATCACACCACCATAATCTGCATGGTCTAATAAAATAATAAATTGTTTCTCAATAAATAACTTTCCCACAATATAGAAACATTGGCAATGTTTTGTTTTTTTTTGTTGTTTGTTTTGTTTTGAGATGGAGTCTCGCTCTGTCACCCAGGCTGGAGTGCAGTGGCGCGATCTCGGCTCACTGCAACCTCCATCTCCTGGGTTCAAGTGATTCTTTTGCCTCAGTCTCCTGATTAGCTGGGACTACAGGCATGTGCCACTATGCCAGGCTAATTTTTTGTATTTTTAGTAGAGATGGGGTTTCACCTTGTTAGCCAGGATGATCTGGAACTCCTGACCTCATGATCTGCCTGCCACAGCCTCCCAAAGTGCTGGGATTACAGGTGTGAGCCACCGCACACAGCCGGCAATGTTTTTTAACTTGTAGTTTAGTCTTCAGACCCTCTCAAATTACTTACTGAATTAAAGTATGCCTTTTATAAGAAACAACATTCCAGTAATATAAAAAAAATTCTGATCTCTTCTTTTACTTTCCATTTAACTTAAGGTACATTTTGGAGGGCATTCTTGTGCTTGCTTCATGGAACCTCACTTGCTTTTAGGTGGATTCAAAATTCTGATGTTAATCCCTTTTAGTAGGGTTCTCTAGAGGAACAGAAGTAATAGGACATATGTATATACAAAAGAGAGTTTATTAAGGAGTATTGACTCACACGATCACAAGGTAAAATCCCAGGATAGGCTGTCTGCAAGTTGAGGAGCAAGCAAGCCAATGGCGGTTCATTCTGAGTCCCCAAACCTCAAAAGTAGGGAAGCTGACAGTGCAGCGTTCAGTGTGTGACCAAAGGCTCGAGAGCCCCTGGAAAATCACTGGTGTAAGTCCAAGAGTCCAAAAGCTGAAGAACTTGGAGTCTGATGTTCGAGGGCAGGAAGCATCCAGCATGGGAGAAAGATGAAGGCTGCAAGACTCAGTAGTCCGCTCTTCCATCTTCTCCTGCCTCCTCGCTGGCAGCTGATTAGATGGTGCCCGCCAGGTTGAGAGTGGGTCTGCCTCTCCCAGCCCACTGACCCAAATGTTAATTTCCTTTGGCAATACCCTCACAGACACACCCAGGAACAATACTTTGCATCCTTCAATCTAATCAAGTTGTCACTCAGTATTAACCATCTTCTTACTGAGCAGTTGACTCATAATAACATTGCCAGAGAACTCTGTTAACAGAAGCATTGTTTGTTGTCCTAAGTCTGTCATAATATGCTGTATAACCTTTCAAGAAACATTTAAAATGTCCTCTTTCAAGCGATGAAATGTGCATTCCTTGAATTGAAAGAACTTGAGCCTCCTTGATGTGTTGCCTGACACGGTGGGAAAGGTGAGCCCGTGAGTGGGGGACTCATCCCGGATCCCGTTCTCTCACAGGTTTGTGAAAGCGGAAGTCACTTTCCTTCTGACCTTGGCATGCATCCTGCTTCAAGAATGGAGCTGGAGGCATATCCATTCTGATTACAAAGAAAATTTAAGTCACTCTCCTACAGAATTTTAATTTCAATAATTGTTTTAGTAATTTGCAAGTATGTGGCATGTTTTGTCTTAACTAATAGAAAAAGTGTCCTTTTTCAAAAAGAGAAGTGTTAATGTAATAATAATAGTAATGACTTCACAGGGTGTGTGTGTTCCGTTCCAAGCACTTTAAACATATGAACAATTTAATCCTCTCTTCCTGGGCGCTGCCTATGGAGGTGGCAGCCATCTCCTCCTTGGCATCATGGCCGCCCTCGGACCCCTTGTGAAGGCCAAGATCGTCAAAAAAAGAACCAAGAGGTTCATCTGGCACCAGTCAGACCGATATGTCACAATTAAGCATAACTGGTGGAAACCCAGAGGCACTGACAACAGGGTTCGTAGAAGATTCAAGGACCAGATCTTGATGCCCAACATTGGTTATGGGAGCAACCAAAAAAAAAAGCACATGCTGCCCAGTGGCTTCTGGAAGTTCCTGGTCCACAATGTCAAGGAGCTGGAAGTGCTGCTGATGTGCAACAGATCTTACTGTGCCGAGATTGCTCACAATGTTTCCTCCAAGAACTGCAAAGCCATCGTGGAAAGAGCTGCCCAACTGGCCATCAGAGTCACCAACCCCAATGCCAGGCTGCGCAGTGAAGAAAATGAGTAGACAGCTCGTGTGCACGTTTTCTGTTTAAATAAATGTAAAAACTGCCAAAAAAAAAAAAAAGAAATTTAATCCTCACAGTAGCCCTTGGAGGATGATATCATCCTGATTTTGCAGATGAGACCACTGAGGCACAGAAAGGCCAAGCCTTATATGGCAGAGCTGGGATTTGAACCCAGGATGTCTGGCTCTTAATGCTGTTAGTTCACATTCTTAACTGTGGGCCAGATGTGTGTAATTGGCTATCAAACGTGGTTCTGACACAAAATTCTACATCTAAATTCCAGTGTCCATTTTACATTTCTGCTAACCTGACGGGGGGAAATCTTTTATTTTAATATGACCAGGGATCCACATTTTGAAAAATATCGCCAGTGCAGTCCTGACGGCCACTTCTTCATTCTTAAGCACCTGGGAGGAAACTGTTCAGAAGTGATTTGTTAACGAAATGGTAAAATCAGCTCTGCCCTTGCTGATGAGTCAAGAATAATTACCAACGACTGAGTCCAGCCTCATGACCACTTTCTTGAGTGACATTTAGTTTGCATCCTAATTTGAAGTTTACAATTCTGGCAAGATATTGGACAGCTGCATGGATAATTTTGTTCACAAATATAGATGCAAAGCTCTATGCTGCGTTAAAGCTATTTTAAAGAGCATACTTTAGGACTAGTGTTTATTTCCTTGTGTCTAAATTTCCTGTTTTGCATTTGCTTCAGCTAAGATTGTTTTGGGCCAAACTTATCTTCCTACACAGACCCTTGGTATCATGTAAATCAAAATAGTCATTAAAACACAGGCATATCTAATTATATGACTCTTATTGTCACTACATTGAAGTTTTTCTAACATTCTTAAATTTTGTCTACATAACGAATATGTTTTTAACAGGAAAAAAAACTATATGTTTGATTGCCTGCTTATTTAAATAAAAAGAGAAAGAAGAGATAGAAGAATTATGTACTCTTTATTGGTTGCCAAACAATAAAAATACTTTTTTGGGAAAAAAAAGTAAACCCCATTGTTTCTTTGAATGTGCTTGTTCTTTCAGCTCAGTCCTAAGAGTGGATGATTACTGAGCACAGGGCCCTGAGATGAACTGAGGGACTCGCATCTCATTCAAGCCTCACAAAGCAGTGGAAGTATTAACGTTTCCTTCATTTTATAAAGAGCATGCTGAGACTAAGAACGGTTGATTAGTTTGCCCAAGTTCTCAAGAGTAGTAAAATTTTAGCCATTAATTTAAAACAGACCATCTGGAGGTAGACTAGAGCTGAAAATGATCTCAATTAAAGGAAGGAATTCTGTCACTTTGTGGAGTTTTATGAAGAGATAAGATAGAAACCAACTTACTGAGTATTAAACAAAAGGCTATTTCCCAAAAACATCCTTCCACGTTCATTCTTCAATCAGTAAAGTTTTACGACGGTTAAGGCAGAAAAAGGGTTAGACACAATTCCTTTCTTCAAGAAGCTTAGAGGTTAATAGGGACACTACAATATTCGTGACACAACTTAAAAGCTACATAAAAATGGTATAGAAGGGTAAAGATTTCTCTGTGGAAGAGGTATAAAAAAGAAAATATTTTCCTCATGGTAAGCTTGAAGGTTCTTCCTCCCTGAGAGGCTTAAAGAAGTCTTCATGATGGAGATCTAGAATCTATCTTTAGTTGGTTAGTGTGTGCACATGTGAGAGAGAAGGCCATGCTAGGCCTGATCCAAGAATGAGGCTGGAAATGGGTGTACTTTTAAGAAAATGAGTAAATAAATAAATGATCTTGTTTGCGTAGGAGCCTGGAAGAGACTAATGGAAGCTGTGAATAGAAAGACCCTTTGAAGCCAATTTGGAGATGGCCTTAAAAACGAGGGAAGTATAGAATTTTCTAAAAAAGAAAATAAGAAACCTTTAAAGGATTGTATCTGGGGAGAGGCAAGATAATAACAAAATCTTCGAGGAGGGAATAAGCCCTTACCTCACTGCTGTTCACCTTGTTTGAGGGCTTACCCTTCACAGCATGCGCCCCTGCTCCTGGACCTCCCCGTCGCCTAGGCGGAGTTCACTGTTAGCCCTTGTCAAGTGTGATCACCAGCTGGCTTGTCTATCTCTTCTTATCAGTGATTGGGCAGTCTTGATACTGAGCTTCCCAGCTGTGGACCCACAACTAAATTAATGTAAGACCCAAAGGTCTGAAACGCCCTTTAAGATGCTGCCCTTGAGAATAAAGAATGTTATATACCAGCAGAGGGTGTTAGGTTTATGCAAGAAGAAGATGGTGTGGTGGAAAAAATCTGAGAGTAAGAAAACTAAGAGAAGAGAAAATAATAAAAAAGAACAGTGATCATTTGTATTAAATAATGAGAGTGAAAATGGGGCTAACAGTATTTTACAGGTGCAGTGGGTCACAGGTTGTTGACATGTAACCAATAAGAATTGGACTACATGGCTACAACCCTTTGTCTGCAAAAGCTCACATGTATTGGCTAGTAATGTTCAAGTAATTAACAGAGGACATTAATCAGTTAAATATCTATCTGCACATGTTTTCTCTAAAAAATTTCAGGTCTCTGCTGGGCATGGTGGCTCATACCTGTAATCCCAGCACTTTGGGAGGCTGAGGCGGGTGGATCATGAGGTCAGGAGATTGAGACCATCTTGGCTAACACGGTGAAACCTTGTCTCTACTAAAAATGCAAAAAAAATTAGCCGGGTGTGGTGGTGGGCGCCTGTAGTCCCAGCTACTCAGGAGACTGAGGCAGGAGAATGGCGTGAACCCGGGAGGTGGAGCTTGCAGTGAGCCGAGATCGTGCCACTGCACTCCAGCCTGGGCGACAGAGCGAGACACTGTCTCAGAAAAAAAAAAAAAAAATTCAGGTCTCTATTTTTTTCTGTCTAATACTTCTGGCTTCAAGGATAGAGTCAAGAGAACTGAGACCAGGAATTGCAACTATTGCAATCAGGCAAATCCCCACAATGTCCCAGGTCAGAGAGTCAAGAGAGAGACAGCTAAACAGTGGGACTATACCCACCTATGACATGACCTTTTAAAACATCTCTTTTTTTTGTGCTTCTTTAGATGGATAGAAGTGAACTTATGTCTATGCTTTGATTTTTGGAAAATTCTTAGGCTGTAAAAGATATAGTTGTTACTAGGAGACTAACTCTCATTTGCCTCAGTCCTAAATTCAGTGTGTTCAGTATAACATTGAGGAAATAAAAATCATAATAATGATTTCAGGAGTGACATATTAACTCCATATTTTTGAAAGAAAGTGTGGTCAGGCTCTGTGCTAAAAAAAAATTCTACCTACTGATGTTCCGAAAATGTGTCATGAGATGATCTGTTATACTGAAAACTAGATTTCTGTGAATGCGGAATGACTTTTGTGTCCTTTTCTTTCCATATTCAAATCTTATTTCACTTCTATGAGATTTCCCCTTATTTGTGGGTTTCTTTAATCATATGCATAATTTTTATGTTGACATCCAGTAAAGGTATATACGCTTTTGTTTCATTTTTAGCATGGACCTAAGAAGCTCTTCCATCATAATCTATGGCTTTCATTACTGATTCTGTTTATAGATAGGATACAAAGATAATATAAAAATCAAAAACAAGTTGTAAGCAAAAATTATTTTTAAAATTAGATTTTTCTCTTCAGCTTGAATATTTCAGCCTTCCAAAGGGTGAGGGAAGGGGGAAAGATGAAAGTGGCAGAATTAATGTAGAAATAAAGTGTTTGGAGCAGAGCTTGGGTTTTTTCCCATAGAGTGAATACTAAATTTTATCAGTATAATGATCCACCACAGTTTAAGGAAGCAACACATTTTCCAATTACAATGATAACTTTTAACATATCTAACATTTTAACATATCTGTATCTTCTAATACATTAGACCTGAAAAATTCTGTAGTGGTTGCCTGTCTCAGCATTTTGCAAGCATCATCCTTGCTGTACCAAAACAGAGTTCACAAATCTTGGAAAGATGTGTGAGTGGCTGTACCTCTTCTGGGGCGAGACAACTGACGGCAACAACTATACATGCAAGTAGTTGTTCTCTGATGAGCTGAAACAGTCACTCATACCACTTCCCATGCTCTGTGGTTCACATGAGGAGCACTGGTAGAGAAAGGCAGCTCTAGATCTTTGTAAGAAGGTAATAAGACACCAAACTGTGTTCTTCAATGGCAAGTGTTAATCTAATACATCTCTCCAAGGAAGGGCTGACAATGGGCGTTGAAAGCCACCAGATAGCAAGCACCCTGTGGCTCTCAAAATGAGTGGGAAGGTAGTTGCACAAAGTTGGTGCCCCCCATACCTGTCTGGAGGCCTGGCTGAAGAGCCAATCCTAGTATGCCCCTCCTATCATCGTGGCCACTCTAGGAGCCAGCCCCAGCCACAGGTTCCCTGCTAGGCAAGAGTTGTCATACTTCTACAAACTTCGAGTAGACTGAAAGTTTTCCTTTTGTCGTCTTCACCAGAGAAAGACAAAGTTTACTTTTGGACAGGTTGCACTAAAGCACTTTAGATGTTCTCTTTTCTCTGGTGGAAGCCTGTGTCTTAGGAGACATGGGGAGCCTGCTGCTGGCTCACCTGTCACAGAACTGGATCGTGAAGCTTTCATCTGGTTTTTCCCAGGTGGGCATTTTAAACTTCTGCTTCAAAGTCTGTCTCTGTACTTTTAATAAATAAGACATTTGTACTGATGGAATCTGCAAGACAGGTTTGAAGGAAAAAATAAATGTCTCAAAGTGAAAGTCTATTTCTTTCCATAAAGACGATATCATGAACAGTCATGTAAAAAACGTATTAAAAATAGCCTTTTTTGAGTTGGGGATCTATTATGTTCAGTAGCTACACTGTAACACAGAAGACCACATGGAGCACATACATGAAATATTGTTGAGGTGGCCATTTGGAGTCCTGGGTTCTAGTAAGGACTCCACTTCAATTGGCCGCATGATCCAAGGATGGGCACATCACTTCTCCAGGACTTACGGTCTTCGTCTCTAAAGTGAAGGCTGAATATTACAGGTGCCCTTAAAGCCGCAAAGCATCACACATTTCA